GCGTTGGCGCAGTCCGTTTCGTCATCCGGGGTCGTTCGGACGACGTTGTCGACGATCGGGTCAAAAACACGCCGAAATTTGAATTTCACAAAATTTTGACCCGCGATCGATCGTCCCAAAAAGTATAATTGAGCATTCGACAAGTAACAATGGCCATGCGAATTGCGACGATCGGACGTATCGACCCTCCGAATTGCGAAGCTTGTGCGCGCGGGAGTGCGAATTGTGCAAAAGGCCACCCTAAGGCTCAGGAAGGTCCTATAGGGAATCCCTTTTGGGTTTCCTCGTGTTGGTTTCGTCCTTCTAAGTGCTAGAAGTTGATACCACGCACGCGAAACTCCAGAAGGGGATCGAAGCGGGTCGAGCTAAAACGAGGCGGGTCCCACTTCTAAGGTTCTAAGATAGTCGAAGGGAGATTCCTAAGGCTAGATCCTAAAACCTAAACGGAAGACTAGACCTCACGAAAAAAATGAGGTCAACAGTATGTTTCAAAGTAAATTTAATATACTTGTGTTGATCAAATTTGGATATTTAATGTGATAGTATAGATAGGCTTAGTTCACTCGTAAACTCAAAATATAATAGTTTTGAAATGTATGAGTTATGGCTCCTATCTTGCTTACATCATCTATTATAATGTTTTGTTAAATATTAGATTTGAATCATATTTAATGATTTTTGGCACTTTAAAAGTTTTTTTTTTTTAAATATTAGTTTACTGGAAAGCAAGGACATCACCCTAATAATATGATCTTGGTACCATATGATCTCATTTAAACCTATACTAACTAGTTTCATTATTTGAGATAATTCACTGAAGTTTCCTGAAAAGCTAAGAGCTTTGGAGGTTTAACATCAATTGAGCAATTTGACCGAATACCAGAAGAAAAATAAATGAAAAAAAACACAAAAAGAAAAGCGAAATCCTCATTGCTGGAAAGCCATTCCCTTGTTTATTGGTTGGAACTAACTTTCTTTTAAAATGAATTGGAAAAAGCCATTCCTATGAGTGATTATGATTCTTTTACATCATGCTAAAGTTCATAATATTAAAATAAAAGTAGTGTTAAATCTTAAAATGATCCCCGACCATTTAAATGTGGGCAATTTAGTTCCAAAATTTTGTAGTGCTCCAATTTAGTCCCCCTAACTGTTGAAAATTGCCCCAGTTAGACTTCCAGGGCCAATTCTTAAGTTGAGATCAATTTTGTATACCCGAGAACTAACCTGGGATCATTTTTTTGTCAGGATTTTTACACAAGGGATTAACTGGGTTTATTTTTCAGTATTCAGGGAATTGTTTGAAGCACTACGAAACTCTGGGACAAAAATAATCACTTTGTAATAGACCAGGACCATTTATGTAAATAGATGAAGTAGTTGAAAAATGAAGAACAGGAAACTTTTGAAAAAATGAGAGGAAAAATTGTGATTTTGCGGGTGATGATGACGGGGTACCAAATTTTTTTGTATCAAAGTTCTTTTGTTACATTAGTTGCGAGTCCATTTATGAACGTACGCTTCACCTATTGCTATTGTCATATTTATATTTTTTAACATTCACAGCCATCATTACTTGCAACCAATATTAATTGCTTTCTTTTATACAATAACAACAACAACAACAACAACAACAAAGCCTTATTCCCACTATGTGGGGTCGGCTACATGAACCCTTTTTCTCCATTGCGTCTTTTTTAGTGTCATATTTTCATTTAGTTTCATAGTAATTGCTTTCTTTTATATGCAAGAAAAGCAGCTGAATTGTATCTCGGTCCATTTAGTCAAACTCATTAAAGTTGAGTCCAGTTTTCTATGACTAAGCTTATGGATCTTGCATTTTTGTTTCAACATCCATTTCTTTTTGTTTTTAAGGATCCATTTGAATTCAGTTGATGTAATCATAAAATTTTGTATGCCTTCCCGTTTGTTTTCCTCTAGTATTAGGGAGTAGGCTCCCACCCATTTCAAAAGATAGGTCGCATAACAAGGTAATGGCTTTTGGGTGGTTTTACTGTTAACTTTCAAAAGCCAGTGAATTAGGAGCGTGATAAGGGAGGAAAGTGGATGTTGTAAATGTATGTCTTCCCAGTTTTTAGTTGCCTTGGCTCAAAGCATTCCGTGTGCTCTTTAGCCCACAAAATTTTTGGAAATGACATAACTAGATTTCCACTTTTACGGGACAAATGCAAAATGGTTTTAAACTTGGGGAACTTATACTTTGTTTTGAAAGATTGTGGACCAAGATGCAATTAGGTAGGAAATGTGTGGTTGTTGAAGCACTTGAACTGAGCTTGGTAGGGATTGTTGTTGCTAGCTCAGTCTATAACTTGTTAACTCATTTATGCATGAATAAGTTTTGTCCTCTTTATGGCCGTTTTTATTCGGATTGCTGCTTGACTTCTTATGATCTTATGCATGAAAGATTGATGCTACCAGTCCTGAGAAGGTTGATTTTGAAGACCCATTGAGAGCAAATGCTGTAGATGGTGCGGATCCCTCTTCTAGCGTACAGAGATTTGATTATACTTTCAGAAGAAGTCTTTCTGATGAAGTGGGTCAGTTTTCAGCAAAAGAATGGGCTGTTTTTAGTAAAGCACTGTTGCAAAAATTCTCTTACAGTAATATGATAACGATGCCAGCTGTAAGTTTCTTAATTATGCAAGCATAACCTGGTATTATGCTGTTTCTTACGGGATGGATCTTTTCTTTTATCTTGACATCTAAGTTATTTTTTGATGTGATTATACTAGGTTGAAATAGTAGCTCCATGGTTCTTTTTATAGTAGTTGTTAGGTCTATTAGCTTGAAGATTAAGTATTTTTTTTCCTTAGATTGAACTTGATACTTGATTACATCATTTACCTATTGAATGATAAATAGATTTATTTGTTAATTGGCTGGATGATGCGTATCTGACTGAATATTGTTTTGGATGGTGGTAATTCTGCGTGCTTATTTCTTCTGCAGGCATTGGACACTTTGCCAAAGAACAACAAAGGTACGCTGATGTAATTATTAGGTTCATGCAATGAATTTGTACTTTATATTGACATGGAACTTGCTTAATATTTAATTATTTAAGATTTTTTTGAACTACAACGAAGTTTTTATTTATGCAGAGCATAACAAGTCTTTAGCAGATGTGCACATGGAGGAATTAGAAGATCCTGAAATGATGATAAATGAGGAGAAGAAGGTGATCACTCAGCAGGAGTATGTCTCACGATTACAAGAGCTTAAAACAGAAATTGCTCGGGCATGGAAAGCTGATGATCGAATAAAAGCATTGAAGATATCAATTAAGGCTTGACCCTTTTTTCTTAATGAAAATTATATCAATCATGCTTAATTTATTGATATATTTTTCTAATGCTTTCAAAGAAATGAACACATTATGCAAAATCACTCTTTTTTTTCATTGCATAAAACTCAGTGAAGCAAAGCTTTTGTTTGATAAAGTGCTTATTTTTTGTATAATATTTATACATGTCATTTATTATATGTATATAATACCCATTTCATTTTATCAAAATCTCATCAAATAATAAATTTCAAAAAAAAAAAAATGATACATACAATAAAATAATAAAATGTGGATTTTTTACTAAATGAATTAAAAAAATTATATAAAATAATAATAAAATATAACATGCATACCTAATTTGATCATGATCTTCAAAAGTGTACAACCAACTTCTACTAATTTGTATTATGCAGAGAAATCAACTAAAAAATAAAATTAATATAGTAATTTGATATGAATTTTAGGAATTTTAAGATTGCATCATAAATTTACTTTATGTATTGAAAAGGCTGGTGAATTGGTGAGGAATGTAGCTGTGTAAATGAGTTGAGTCGAGCTTGAGTCACCCTTGGCTTGAACTTGAGCTTAAGCTTGATTAATTTAACTAGTTCAAGCTCAAACTCAAGCTCAATTCTATTAATTTAAGCTTGAGATCATTTATTATGAAAAAGAGAAGATGATTCCAATTTGAGCTATTGTAGCAATATGTTGATGAAAATAATGAAAAATTAAGAAGTTTTAAAAACAAATTAGTTGAGATAGGGGAGAGTGCTAAGCTTTTTAAGACTTTTAACACTTTTGTACTTAAATAATTAAATTTTAATATTCTTAAGTCTATTTTATGTTAATATTTTTTAATTGAATGAACTTGCAAGTTCATGCGTGTAGTTGGGGTTGGCTCTCAACGCTTGATTTGTTAGCTCTTGAGCTTGATTTAGAGGCATTTATAGAGCTAAAGCTCAATCTAATTCATGAGTTGGCCTTACTTTGTTACACACTTAAGCATGGATTACAATCCTAAACTTCACTTAACATAGAATGCTTCTTGGTTGCAATCCTTATGCCTGAAGTGCAGCTAAGTGTCCATGTCGTTGTTGAGCGAAGCGTTGTGGATTTGTACTTTATCGCTTCACTTTAAAAGCACACTTTTCATGTCACTGCTTTTCTTACACTACGTTAGTTTCTTATACCTTATGTGATGAGAGGCATCCTTGCTTTTACTTTTTCAAAGCTAGGATATGCAAGTATCCGCCTATGTTCATAGTTGAAAATACTGAACTTTTACTCAATGGTTGAACATTTAACCTGCATTCTGCTTCTATATGTATGGATCCCAAGAAACGTGATCAAATTCAGAATTAGTTATATAATTAAATTCTGCAAAAAAAAAAAAGATTAATGGCTCTTAATTTTTTTTTATTGTTTAACACAATCAAGTGTGATTCAGGATGTAAGTGTCTTTTGTGCTCCAAATGCAGCATTTAAGGAATTGCATGTTATGACGGCTTGCCTTGGCTTGCCTTTTGAATGTTTCCTCGTACACTGCAGGTTTCGAGGCTTCTCGGCTTGCCTCCTTTTAAATGTTTCCTCGTACACTGCAGGTTTCGAGGCTTCTGATTGACACATCAGTTTTGCAGTTCTATCCAACCTTGTTCTTGTTAGTCATAGACGTAATGGATATGTTTGGTGATTTGGTGTGGGAAAGAATTAAAAAGAAAGTTGAATATTCTGATGATGGGACTTTAATCTGTTCTTTGCCAGGCATGTTTCATGTAAATTTGTATCCTATCTGGTCCTGTCCAGATTTTTCATATTCTTATTGGTATTTGAGTTAGATTAATGTGCATTGCTACCTATAATGCAAAAAGTTGATTATTACAAATTAATGTATATGCTCCACTGAAGGCTTTTTAATGATGTTTAGACTTTTCTTTTCTTTCATTTTTCATATTACAGTATCCATATTTTAGTCTTAATGTTCGTAGTCATATTGCTTGATTCATATGCTATAATAGGTATTAGTGTCTATCATCATCAGTCATTTCTATTGAGTGCCATTTGAATTGCTAAATATTGTTTTGTAAATATACTTGTCCAAATTTTTGCCCATCTTACCTTTGCTCATATTAATTGCTCCTCCACATTTTTAGGCAAACAAGTTTATTTTCAAGGTGGACCACTTCTTTAGACTTGAATAACCATGACCAAGGGGTATAACTTTGATCTTCTTTATAAGATATCAACGGAGGCATCTGTTAGGGTTGTGGATTGATGTCATAAGTTGATCCTATGATATAAAACTTTTATATATAATATTTGAAAAAAATTGCTTTGTTTTATCTTTGATTATGGGAAGCTAGTTTTGGTGTCTAATTGGAGACGGTCCTTTGTTTTTGCATGAATCATTTTGATTTGGCCACGCTTTAAGATTAACTCATTGGGCGTATTTCTTCATTGGTTGAATCTTGGCCCAAGCACAACTGCTTGAGTGTATTGCTGGCTTCATGCGCTGGTTTTTGAATTTGGATGGGTTTTGCCTGGGGTTTAGCGCTTTGGTTTCATTTTTTTATTTACACTCCATAGGTTACGATCTGAGCAGTTCTGTGATGGTGCCATTCTTCATCTTATTTTAGCATGTTTTGGGTAAGCCAATTCAATTAATGTCAGTGGTGAGTTTCATGCTTGTGTGAGTAGGTAACATCTTCGTGCCAGCACTGACTTGTTGTGGGCCAACTGCAATGCAACTGGATAGTCATTTCAGTTAGCTATTGTTTATCTTTTGATCCATGTATTTTTATGACTTTTCTGTGATTTGTCGTGCTTTGTTGCTCTCGTGCTTCAAGTGTTTGCTGATTTAGCTCACTGGTTTTCTTTGATAACTCAATTAGCTAATGAGATTGATTAAATGCTGTTTTATGTTGGGAGCATTTAATGTTGTTTTTCTAAATCGAGTGTTGCTTGCAAGAACTAAGGTGTTAATCTTGTGCTATTTGCTTTGCTAAGCTTTGCTAAATTTCATTCCTCCTCTATTTTGTGCCTATATCATTTGAACAGTTGCTAGAGTGTAAATTTAGCTGCTTAATCTGCCGAGCATTCAAATCTATTTTGCTAAATTTGCTTGTGTTAAATTTGGTGCTTAATAAATGATTCTTTTGCTTGCATTCCTAGGATTAGAGCAGCTACTTCATCCTCCAGCGTTTGAATTTTTGAATCTGTACGCTCAATTTATCAAATTAAATCTTGCATTCACTGTTACAATTTTATTCTTTTGTGCTTAATCATTGTATGTTTGCAATCCACTTTGACAGCTTAGTACTTCTCCAGCTGCTGCTCTTGTTGGCTCCTTATTGGCTCTAGCCCTTAAATAACTGCATCCAGTTATTGCACAATTATTGCACAATACGATTACTAACCAACAGTGTAACGTCATAGTTGGTACTTACTGTTTAATGGGTTTTGGTTGGGTCTGTTGGGTGAATGATATCATCTTGAAATTTCTTTTGGGGCCAATATAAAAGGTTTCTTCAATATTTTTGAGAAATTGGAATTTTCTATTTTTAGAATATTCTATTTGTGGCAGTTTTCTATTTTTAGAATTTTTTATTTTTGATAGTTTCCTTTTTTCTATTTTCTAGCATGAGAATTTGCTGATTTTGTGGCTTTCTGAAATTCAAGAATAATGATCATTTTACTTCTCAAAAAACCTTCATATAAACAAAACCTAATGCCTTTTCTCTATCTTCTTTTTTTCTTATGATGTCTACAGCTGGCACTAAAAGAAAATCTACTCTATTGGTTTCGGTAATTCCAAAGCCCAACCTTACAACTCTCATGCCTTTACTTACAAATTATTATTCCCAGAATTTAGCCCTTTATCTCACAATTACAAAATTCAATGTGCACAACTATCTCGAGTGGCTCAATCCATAAAGTTGGCTATTGATGGGAGAGACAAAATTAGACATTTAACGAGTGAAATTTCAGAACCTGTTGCTAGTGATCCTAATTCAAAAAAAAACATAGTAGTCAGAAAGCTCTTGTTATTTCATGGCTAATCAACTCCATGGAACCGGCCATAAAAAAACTTCATATATTTTTTCCCATGGCTCAATATATTTGGGAGGCCGTTCGAGATTTTTATTTAGACTTGGGAGAATTTTTCTCAAATTTTTGAGTTGAAAACTCAACTTAAAAAAATTCAAGCAGAATAATTGTGGTGTTACTACCTATTACAATGACTTGGTAATTGTATGACATGATCTAGATCAATGTGATACGTCTTCTTCTGCAGATGAGAGAGTCGACGAGAGAACCACCCCCCGTGATGGGTGTGCATTCTACATTAACCAAAAATAAAAGATGATATAAAAGCTATATAAAAGGTGCAGTGTGTTTGGAATCAGCTTCAACCAAACTCAAAAAAGATTGGTCATAAGTGCGAGCATCGTGAACAAAAGACCTAGTCAAAGCCAGCTGAGAATAAAATGGGCCTCTTTGTTACTTTCCAGCAAAAAAGAAAAGAACTTCCTTAAAATCATAAAGGAAAGTAAATTTGAATCCATTTCCAAGTTGTTTCCAATCTTTAGTTGTCATCCTCTCACGAAAACAGTTGATGACGGTTTCATATCCCATTCAATGATGACACTCTTAGTTTCAAACACCCAACTAGAGCAGTTGACCTGGCCAAATCCTAGGAGGAGCTGAGGACGATCTCTGCATTCAGGTGGGGCCCACACAAACACGAATCACATACAAGAGGGGAATTAATGGGAGTTTTGAGTGAGAAAGATTGAATGGATTTTGGAAAGTATTTATTAGGGCAAATTTTTTAAGGTTTACTTTATGTTTTGCTTTGCTATAGTTTTCTTTTCTTTTTGTGTTTCTAGGCATATCTAGGCTATGTGGAGAGATGATTTACCTCTCGAATTGTAGATCATCCTTTGTCTCTTGTTTGTTTGCTTTTATATTAATCAAATTAGCCTTATATTGTGTTTTCTCACATATATTACAATTTTCTTGCTGATGTTGATTTTGGGTATCAGAGCAAGATCTTGGAGGAATGACAACATAAAATGTGGATATGTTGGAAGAAGTAGGGCAAATCAGATTGGGGAAGGACGAAAGGTTCACCACTATAGATGACAGGTTTTTTTTCATGTCAAACTTAATGGAGGGTGGACTCGAGAGATTTTTTTCCATGGAGAACTGAATGGAGGACCGATTAAAGAGTCTTGAGGAGATGATAAAGGCCCATTGAGATGCAATTTAAAACCTGCATGACAATTTGCAAATCCTAACTAAATGTTAATGAAAGAATCCTTGACCATATCGAAGGGGAAGAAGATCAAACGAGAGGCCCATGAGGAGGAAAACATCTACCACCGAAGAGATTTCCTCTAGGATTTCGAGAGTGGATGGAGTTGAAACTTATGGAGGCAGGTGGGTTAAAAAATTTTGGGGGGTTTATGCAAGGAGCACGAAAAAGGAAGGAGAGAAGTGGGAGTGGGTTGTATATATGACTGAAGGAGAGAGTTTCACCTTAGACACATTGGGGGAAATGCCAGAGGGAGAGGAAGTTGGGGTAAGAATGCGAGGGTGAGGAAACTGAAGATGCCGATCTTCAAAGGGGAAGATGCACATGGGTGAGTATACAGGATGGAGCGATATTCTGCAGTAAATAAGTTAACTAGGAAAGAGAAGCTGATGACAATAGAGTTATGTTTAGAGGGAAAGACCGTAACATGATCGGTTTGTGGGAGAATTTTTAAAATTGCTTGTTGGAATGTTTTCGAGTCATTCGGGAAGGAGACCTACATGAGCAATTTAATGTTGATTCAGGATGGGACGGTCACAGAATATAGGGAGAGGTCAAGCTATTGTCGGGGTGGTTGAGGGGTATTTATGTAATAGGACTGGAGAGTATCTTCTTGAAGGGCTTAAAGTCCGACATCCGCGCAACCCTTCGACCATTGAGATCTTGAGGATCGAAGGATATGAAGAAGCTCACCTAGATGGTGGAAGACGAGAAACAGGTGAAGAAGACCAACAAAGGTGGCACCTCGAGAGGATTCTACTAGAGTGCCTTGACGACTATGATATTGAGGACTCAGACGGTGTCATTTCTGAATGAGGCTCCAAAGGAGAGGAATACGGGGTTCCATCCTGGGGGAAATTTCAAGTGCCTCATGAAGGCAAAAGTGCGAGATAAGAGAGCAAAAGGATTTTGTTTTCTATGTGATGAGAAGCATGCTCTAGGCCATTGTTTCAAAGAATGCACACTTCATGTATTTTTAGTTCATGAGGGCGAAGAGACAAATAGTGTGGAGCTAGACGAAGAAATGGTGGAGGAAGAGGAGCCTTTTCACTTGGATGTAATGGATATGTCCTTCAATTCAATAGTGAGATTTACTTCAAATCACAGTATGAAGGTGAATGGACGGATCGTGGAGCAGTCGATTGTGGTGTTGGTGGATGGTTGGGCCACATATAATTTCATTTCAAATCAAGTTGTGGATCAACTAGGATTGGAGCTAGTAGAGATGTAGAGCTTTGGGGTCATGATGGGGATGAGGAAGGTGGAGTAATTTCGGAGAATTTGTAAAGGATTAGTTCTGATGCTACATGGTCTATTGGTGGTGGACTTCCTTCCATCAAACTTGGGTAGCACTGATGTGATTCTTAGGATGAAGTTGCTGCAGACGCTTGGGGAGATAGAGGTGGACTAGAAATTTCTAATGATGGAGTTCCAGATGGAGGGTAAG